TCAGGAGGGGTCTCACCACCGCCTCCTTTAGGATCGCGGGGAAGACACCCTCCCGTAAAGAAGCGTTTATAATTCCCTGGAGCCAGGCTCGTGTACCCTCCCGAGCCGCCAGTACCAGCCAGGAGGGGCACGGATCCAATAAACATGTGGTCGCATTCAGCCTCCCCAGGATCCTGTCCACATCCTCGGGAGCCACAAACTCCTCCCATATAATCGTCTCAAGACCTGCTCTCTCCACCTCCCCGTGAGGCACCCAGTCGGAGTCCAACCCCTCCCGGATCCGAGCGACTTTATCATTCAGATATTGTGCAAAGTCCTCAGCCCTCCCCACCAGGGGGTCCCCCCCCCTCAGTTGAAGGAGGGAGCGGGTCACCCTGAAGAGGGTGGCCGGGTGATTATCTGATGACGCAATGAGGGTGGAGTAGTAATTAGACCTCGCCACCCTCATTGCCACAAGGTAGGATCTGACATGTGTCCTTACCCAATGCAAAGTAGTAGAAAGAGAGTTAGGCATCCTAGAGACAAGTTTTGCAATCAGCCTGTCCCAGGTAACCATGAGGTAAACCAAGTCCAGAAAAGGGCTTGTTCAGAGACTTGCTTTTGTCAGATCCTTTAAATATTTAATTATTCATTTTTTATCCTGCTGCAGTCTCACAATTCTCCTGGTTATAATGTCATAATAAAAAAAATATTGTGGACTGGAGCCACAATATTTCTATTTTTCTCCATTTATTATTACTAAATCCATTTTATGGCATTTATCTTGCTCATTTCTCTTGAATTTTCATACACATTATTTCATTTTCAGTCCTCTGTGTGTGTGTGTGGGAGTGCATATACACACCTTCAAGTTGATTGTGATTCCTGGTAACTGACAAACGTCCCTGGTGTTTTCTTGACCACAATTTTCAAAAGTGGTTTGCTCTTGCTTTCTTCTTCCTAGAGCTGAGAGACAGTCACTGGTCCAAAGTTAGCAAGTTAGCTTAATGGCTAAGGTGGGACTAGAATTCAAGGTCTCTCTGATTCTAGCCTGATGCTTTAACCCTACATCAAAGGGAATACTTTTTTTCAATCATTCAAAACCTATTAAATAAGAATTAGATATAATTCTTTTACAAACTGCTCAGACTTTGAAGACCAACATCTGTGAGCAAGGAAGCAGGAAAATTCCAAAACTGTAGTATGTTTACGGTATCCTGTTGGAATGAATGTCCAAGGATGAGATATTTCTCTTTTTTCATGGGATTGGAATGGTATATGGGAATGATCTTGGAAGACAGGAGGAAGAGCCTCAGATTAAACAATGGTCAGACAAATGGCAACTGAGCAAACACCCCAAAAGGGACCCTCCCTAGTTTTTTGGACTGCAAAGGAGAGGGGTAAGAGATGTACTTTCAGACATGCAGATTTTGTTAATGTAACCTTTCAATAAAGCTTGAGCCATACTTCTGAGTGTGCTTCTTCTCTGGTCTATGGCACAAGGCTGACAGGATGAGAGCGTGCTGTAGTATATGGCAAGGTTGATTAAAACTATTTACTGGGGAGCTAGCGGAGGGTGGTGTGATAGGTACGGTTAGTGGGAGGGGCAGGTATGGCGGGAGCAGAGGACCATATCGGGTTCTGGGAGCACGCACACGCTGCCTACAAGCCTGTGGGTGCTCCGATCCTCTGAGCTCGGCTCGACCCCCAGGGACCTTAGATCCTTCGGCTCGGGCCCACCGGCTGATGTGCAACGCCAGGTCCGTGGTAAATAAGGCCCCCCTCATTCAAGAACTGATTCAAGAGGGGGGAGCGGACCTGGCGGGTATCACCGAGACCTGGTTGGGCATGGAAGGGGGAGTTCCCCTTGTTGATCTATGCCCACCAGGTTTCCAAGCATTCCATCAGCCGAGGGCCCGGGGTAGGGGCGGGGGGGTGGCGGTTGT